GGAATCACAGGCAATTCCTTCCCCTTGCACAAAATGGAGAAATTGATAGATTATTGATTCAATCAAGAACATATTGGAAGTCAGCATCTCCCTACCCCTGAAAAGGAAACATCTTTGGGAAATATTAAACAGAAAGGAACAATAGGAAAAGAGGCAGACAGCCTAGCCCCAGAAACCAACTATTACAAATACGGAAAGCTGCTCCAAAAGAAACATCTGTTTTCCTTCTCTTAGAAAAGTCAAGCTGAAAAATAAAAGTACCAGAGAAGAGGGTTTTTTTCCCTCTCTCTCTCTACTCTCCCTTCCTCCCCTGCCCAACTCAGTTAATAGCCCTGGGCAAGCAGTCAAGAAACACATAGCAAAAGAAACGATGTAGCCATAAGTGCTGGCCTTGAATAAACAAAAAAGAAAGCTGACAGGATTGCCCTATACACACATAGAAACCAGTAACAAAATTACCCAGACACACACCAGAACCTATGAGAAGATTAACCTAGACACACAAAAACTTCATCAACAAGTTACTTCCTTCCCTGGGTGATAGGATTAATCAATCCTCCTGACAGGAAAAACCAAGCTAGGAAATTAAGAAGAACAAACTTCTTACAAATCTCATCAAGACTTAAAATAGAAAGAAAAAGTATAAATTGCACCATGTATTTAGGTGATTTTTACTAGCTAGTCCAGAACCCATTGCTGTGTCACTTTTCTGTCTGGCTTCTGTAATAAAATCCACTTTCTGGCAGCTTGCTTCGCTTAGCGTCTATTTTTCATCCGCGCTGAAGGCTTATTCCCAGCTGGAGAAAGGAAGAATGGAGATTGGACAAAAATTGTCAGTACAGTTGGGTCTAATGATGGCTTCGTGAGGAAGGACTGAACCATCAACTTTAAGGGAAGGACCTAATATGCAGATGGTTGAGCTAATAGTCATGAGCACCCTGTCAATTCCTCAGATACAATAGGATCAAAATGCTGGGCAAGACTATACCCACTTATAGGACCGACTTCAAGACTGGAGTCCAACTGAAAGCAGCTTTCAGCAATTTTGTTTGATAGATGCTAAGCATATTCTTCTTAACATTCTTGCAGGAAACCTCTGGCCCCAATCTATCAAAAAAGATTCAGGTCACTCTAGGCTGCCAAATGGTTATCAGTCGATGCAATAAGGACAGATTATTGCAAATATTAATATGTTCCAGGTTCCAGTGGCTTGGTTATTTCTTGTTTGGATTACTCTACTGCAATATGTTCTATATTGAATTCCTATTGAAGACCATTCAGAAGTTCTCTGGTCCAGAATGCAGCAGAGTGTATAGTGTTGGGTGCTCTAGGGCTACTTGTGTTACATCACTGCTGTACTAGATTCACCTGCTTCCAGTTTCCTTTCAGGTCTAATTAAAGGTGCTGGTTATCAATTTTAAAGCCCTACTTGCCAGGAGACTGGTTCTGAAGGATTGCCTCTCTGTGAGGCAACCTTATTGGCACACTCTAGATCCCTTCCTTTAAACATTGTCATCTTGTGGGTCCTTAGAAGTGTGCCTTTTCTGTTGCAGCTCTTGCCCTATGGAACACCCACTCCCTGAAAGTCCAACAAGCTCCCACCCTGTGGTTGAGGAGGCATACAAGTTGACAAATAAATTAATAGGGTTAGGGTTAAGGTTAATTTATATTCAATATAATGCATAAATCCCCCAAATAAATAAATGCAGTAACCAAATTAAGCAAATAAGATCTCTAAATGTGCATTGCAAAGGGTGTGTAAATGTGTACATAGGTGTTTCAAACTCACCTGGCACTGGTACTTTATTTAAATTGCTAGAACATATTAATAATGTATTATCTAGCATTTGGATATTTGGATGCAATTTTTACTTGAAAGTTTTTTCAAAAAGTTTGATGAGATGATAATGGCTGTGAAAAATATTTAGAGGCATATAGTTTTGGATAAGTTAGATTTACAAAATCAATTTGATTTAAATGCTGCAGATTAAAGAGATATGGTCTATACAGGCAGAAAGCTGAGTTGTAAACCTTCTTTTACAATAGCAGAAGTCTGAAATGGAGAAGTGACAAAATTGATTTTTCTTAGGAGGACTGGGGAAGATTGGGGAATAGATTTATTCACTTAATCACAATCCATTTCTATCAGGACTTTGTTGGGAAGATAGACTGATTGTGGACATTAAATGCATTATATTTAACTAGACAACAATTGATAAAAGATGTGGATATTTGATCCAGGATAAATTAGTCCTAATTTTAGGGATGATCTGTGATAGTTAAGGTGCTACAGTAAATTTTCTACAAGTTGATTACAATAACACTTGGTGAACAGAGGACTTTGAAACTTTAATTTTATCCTTTTTATTATTGTTGTTCTTCCTGTTAACTATTGTGTCATTAATATAGCATATAAGTAACAGGTCTATTCACATAATTTGTGAATAGATTTATTGTTTAAAAAAATATGGATCTGTTTCACAAGAGGTGGGAACCAATATTGTAGTATTAACTTACATTTACACATTACAACAATATGTGTAGTAATGCATATTATAATGGGGGATAATATGTGTATGTGTGTTGAGCTTTTTTCTTTTAATGCACTTTTAATGTCTTCTTTGTTTTCTTTTTTCTTTTTGTTGTAAATTTTTTGTACTTTGTATTTTAACTTTTTTCCGAATAAAATAAAGAATTGATAAAAATAGAAAAGAACATATGTCTCAGGAATGAAATGTTGGATTTTTAGTGCTCTTTGAGCTTTGTTGTTTCCTTGCAGTCAAGCATTACCAGACTTGATAACATCATCAGAGCCCTGTAGATAGATTGTCCCTCAGTTGTTCTTTTGGTTTCAGAATGTACAGTATTATAGCAATGTTTCTCAATCTTGGCAACGTTAAGATGCATGCCAGCTGGAAAATTCTGGGAATTGGTTCATGTACCATAAATACAGTGGGATAGCATATTGCAGGACAGCAATAATTCAGTTCTTTAGAGTTTTTTGGGATGATTTTGTTTCTACTTTGAGTCAATTCACAGAACATGAATGTCAGAGATAAGATTAGATATTTCATGAATCAAGTTCTCTGAGTCAAAATCTGAGGTTAGTTCTTTAAGGATTAGCCAGCATCTTTGAATAACTCCTCGCCCTTCTTTTCTTCTTCCGCCAAGTGCAAGGTCCACATTTAATGCACTTAATCCATGAATGCTCCTTCTAAATCTAGCCCTGGTTCTCAGCCATTTTGATTTCAAGACCATTTTACATTCTTGAAAATGACTGAAGACTCCAAAGAGCTTTGGTTATGTGTGCTATAAATATCAGTGTGTTCTATATTAGAAATTAAAACTTAACAAGCTAACATATTTCACATCATGGACCCCCTGAAATGGTTTTGTGGGACAGATCTTGAGAATTGCTGATCTAGCTCATCATAATGGTCTAAATGCAAGTGTAGAGAAGAAATAGTTCCCTCTCATACTTGTAGAAATGTGTATTCTAAAAGCTATCACATGTCCTTAGATAAGAATCAATTTGTCCCATTTTGAATTATTTCTAAATAATGCATCCAAACTATGATTTTCTTTCCAAAACTTTCAGGACACAATGCTGCAATCTACATATTTTCCAGGGGCTGGATGAATGGCAACCAAGATGTCCTCTGCTCAGGCTTCATTCCTCAGTGAGAGCAGTTAGCTTGATCCCAGAGATCAAACCACTAAGATCTCTTTTCACCTCATCCTTATAAGAGCCAATTAAATACTAGGAATCACTTAATTGTATCTCCCCATATTTTATTCTTGTACTCAATGAGGACTTATTTCAAGAGCAGCAGGATACAGATTTTAAAAATTATGAAAAATATTAGGGGGAGGAATTTATTTAGGATAACCCTAAATGGGAATGGATAGGTTGGTCAATAAAAATAATGTGTTTTACTTAAAAATCAAAAAGCAATACATGCATAGTATTCTAGAGCTGGTCCATAGAGCTATATGGGTCAGAATACATAGCATCATGTCAGAACAGAGATATCAAAAAAGTGAGATGTGTGAATTTAGAAGAAAGGACAGATAGTTCCACAAAAATGCATCAAGCTTCCAGAGTAAAAATGCATTCAGAGTGTGGAGAGTATTTCTATTATTTCACAGGTCATTTTTTTAAAAAAATAAATCCTTGATTAGGAGTAAAACACACAGTTTATATTTGGGTGAGGGGGAATTCTGAAACGCTTGGAGGAAAAAGCACCTGAGACTCAAGAATTCCCTCCTCCTTCTCAGATGTTTTTACAATGGTTCATTCTTTTACCCAGAAGACCAGGAACACAAATACTTTTGTTTGTAAAGATTGCAGAGCCACAAAGATTGCAGTCACAAAAAGGACAGGTTAAAATTGCTCCCAGGGTGAAAGACACTCTCCCACCACCAAATGTAAGCTATATCTACTTTACAGGAACAAACAGACTCAAACTATGAACAAATTAATGATTACATGTGGAGCAACTGCATACTAGCATACATATGGACTCATGGTTACATAACAGTGCAAATTTTTGAAAATGCACTAGGCAATTTCTTATCCCTACTATACTATGTCCTAGGCCAGCATAGCTGACTCAGGAATTCTGGGAGTTGAAGTCCATGAGTCATAAAAGAGCCGAGGTTGCCTACCCCTGTCCTAGGCTATATCAAGTATACAAATGTCTATATTTTCCTACAAGCTTCAATGAAATAAAAAGGCAAAAAGTAGTTCTGAAAATGGAAATTATTTTTTTAAGCTTTTAAAGCCTTTGGCAGCGCTTTTTTTTTTTATCATAGGCAGGCAGCAGTTTTACACTTAAGCTTGGCAGCTTATTTATCTCTGCAGATCAAGCTATTAGAGAGAATGGCTCAGGGATGATGGGATTTGCAGGCACCGGCTCTGGGAAACTCTTCCATTGGCAGGTGTCAACTTCCCACAAAGGAAACAACACTAGATGTTTAATTCTTCTTTATTATGAAGCGACGTAATAGAAGCTTCCAAGCTTCCCGGCGCCATTTTTAGTTGTCTGAACAATTAGAGCGGGTCTTGCTAAGTTTCTTTCTCAGATCTTCAAGCGACTGGGGGCTTCTGCCTCTCTTGTCTGTTTCCTAGGCTGTATTTCTTCACTTCCTTCCGCAAAGTCATCCACGCCACCCTGTTACAGAGGGGCGGTGTGCCCCCCCCCAACATTGCTTTTCCAATTCTTGTCTCTGTGTTGGAGAACTCGGGAGAACGCCCCCTCCTGCTTCGCGATCCACTTTCACTTTTCCTTTTCCACTTCCACTTCCCTTAGCGACGGCTGAGTGGCGAGTTCTTCCCCGTGTCCCGCTTCTTTTGCTCCGAATTCTCCAGGCCGGCGGCAGGAGGAGGACAGCGATAAGCGAGGGATTGGGCTGGGAAGCGAGAGAGTTGCCTTCCTCTCCCTTCCTGGACCAGCGGCGATTTCCCCGGTCCTCGAGGTATCTTGACTGCAAGCAAACCCGATAGGCAGGAGTGACACTCTTCTACCAGCCTCCAGCTCCGACGCCTCGGTGCTGCCCGCTTATTCACTGGATCACAAGAAGCAAAGCCTACCTGCTTCCCATCCTCCTCCCCTCCGCCTTCTGTCTTGAGTAGAGAAGACACAAGCGGTCGGTGGGAAAAGGAGAGTGAAAGTCTCTTCAGGGTTAAGATAGCGTGCAGTAGGCCGGGAATGGAGGGAATGGAGGAGGAGCAATAGCCGAAAGGAAGAAGTAACTTTTTGCCTGACCCCCGTTTCTGCTTTTTCCACTTTTTCTGCTACCCCCTTAGAGACCGTTGAAAGTGGTCAGAGCCAGATGGAGCTGATTTCTCCTGAGGGCTTAGTGTATTTAACTTGCTTTCTTCTCCATGGGCCTATCTAAACTTTGACCACACTAGATTTCATCCCTTCAATCTGATTTCTATTGCAACTTTTACATTTTCTTTGTTCTAGGTACATCTGACAGAGACCCACAATGTCAAACACTCCCCGCTGCAAACTAGTTGACTATTTTGAAGAGCTGAATGAAGAGGAATTTGAGAAATTTAAGATGCACCTCGAGGACTACCCAGTGGAGAAGGGCTACAAGCCCATTCGTCGCTCCAAAACTGAGAAAGCTACCCACATTGAAATAGCCCGATACATGATTGAGGCATATGATGATGCCAAGGCCCTGAAGGTGACCGTCAGCATTCTGGACAGAATAAATAAAAAGGATCTGGCTGCAAGAATCCAAAACAAGATGCCGGAATGTAGGTAGAAAAAGCCCACCTGCGTATTGGTAACCCAAAGGTGACGCTTAAGCTTAATTCCTTTGTTGGCTTCTGTTCTTCTTTCCCCTTGGCTTTCTAATATTTCTCTCAAAATCAGTATGAAGAAAAGGGAAATAGGTATGACATAGTGAATGTAGTATTTAGTAGGGCCTATTGTGTGTTATTCCTGCTGTTTTCTGCAGCTCAAATCCCACCTCTTGTTTTGCTGATTTGCTAATCTAACAAACCCAAAACAACCAGAGGGTGTTTTGTGATTTAATAGTTATTCTCTTTGTCTTAACTAAGACATCTACCTCCTCAGACAAACAAGAAGTCCTTTTACATTTTTATTTTTGAATTTGATAATTTTGAGGAAAAATCCTGTTGGCCAAGTTTTCTCAAGGCATGATACTTAGGAACTCTATAGTCTATTCAAACAGAAGTAGTTTTAATGTTCAAGGGCACATATGATCATAGAAAACAAACTGAATACACTAAAAATAACCTTGAATGCTTTTACTTTTAAATCACTATATTATAATTATAATTCGATCAATCTTTTTGCTTACTGGAAACTGAAGGTGAAAGAAGAGCTGGATTTGATTCCATTTTGTCTCCTATTCTTTATTGGGCCCCAGAGTTGCAGGAATTTCTACTAACTCTCTGGGAAGTAATGCCCTTCAAGATGTGTTGCCCCAAATGATGGCAGTTGAGATCTAGCACCCTTGGAGACATCTGGCTGGAAAAAAAATCTGTTCTACCCAATATTTCTTGTTGCTCATTTTTATCAGTTGATGCTCATTGCATTAATACTGAGCTAATGCGTTAATTTGTTTAGCCTATCAGATGATTGCAGAAGGAACAAAGGGAACCAAGGAGCTTCAGTTTCTTCATTTGTTTTTTAATACAAGAATGACCATTTATTTCTGACAGATTTCCTTCCAAAACCATCCGCCATGACTAAAAGAGACAAAAAGGCACGAGAAAAGAAAATGCTGTCAAATCTATGTGACAAGTTTTCTGGGATTCCAAAGAAAGGTTAGTTGCTGGTGAATGAATTAATGTTCCTAAACAAAAGTCTTGGGGTGGCTGCAGCAAGAAGGGCAGAAGGAGATAGATCTGAATGCTTGTCTCAGTCTCTGAGTTGCTGTCCACCTACTTGGGCCTGCATTAACCTTCCACCAACTGAGGCACCCCATACTCCATTTAACAAATGCATTGGGGAGAGCAGTGTGGGTGTTGTTAAGTGGGACAATCATGTCAGTGCCTGAATGACCATCACATCCTGAGAGTATAATGGACAATTATGTCACAATTCAAGAATTATCTTAGAAAGTCAAGTTAAATTTCTTGCTAGTAAGTTCTTCCTTTCTGGGGTCTAATTCATGTTTTTCTAACTGCCACGTTTTTACTCTAAGCTTAGCTCTCTGTTTCTCTAGAAATGTAAATGCTTATAGTATCCTAACTGCATTTTGTCTGAGGGCTCATACTTACATCTCCCTAACAAGTAGTAATCTTTCCTACATAGATATCACATGTATGAAAGTGGGTGCCATTTTGGAAGCAGCCACTATATTGTGCATAAGCAAATAAAGAACAGAACTTTGGTTGAATTGTTCTATATTGTTTTTAACCTTAGCCTGACAGAAAATATTCTAATCTTTTTATCTACAACTTTAGTTGAAGTGATCTTGGATCCCAAGACAGCTTATCCTGCTCTCATCCTTTCAGAAGATCAGAAAGGGGTACATATGGGGGAGCATTCCCAGCTCCTTTTTGACAATCCCGAGCGCTTCTGTTTTTTGCCAGGTGTCCTGGGAGCAGAAGGCATTGACTCTGGGACTCTAGAATGGGTGGTAGAAGTAGGCAAGGCCAAAGAGTGGGCCGTTGGGATTGCTCGGGAATCAGTAGAAAGAAAATATTCAGACGATATCACCATTACTCAAGGATTCTGGGTACTGCAGCTAACACAAGGAGAGTACCAAGCTTCTACAAGCCCTCCCATCAAACTTACACTTTGGAAATCACCACAACGTATTTTGATTGTCCTGAAGCATGATTTTGATAGACTCATCTTTTACAATGCTGACTCAATGGATCATATCTTTAATTTTAATTATCCATTTTCTGAGAAAGTGTTCCCTTTTCTCTTAGTGAGGGACAAAGAGACTCCCTTGAAAATCTCTCCAAGAACTTCAGTGACAAGACATGGAGAGGAAAAGGAAAATTAGTTTTGAATCATTTGTTTATTTACTCTGGAACAGTTTCTTTTAGAATGACTGAGTTTATTGTTTTATTAATCTTTGATTCTTGCCTGAAATGTTTTTGAACCTTCAATCTATATCTTAATAAAGAATATATAGATTCATGGTAGATAGAGATGGTTTTTTGTTTAAATGCTTGCTGTTTTCTCATTATTGTGTTCTGCATATTTTTATTTAATGTTTTAATGTAAATTATTGTTTTAATCGATGATTTTGTTGTAAGCATTTTTCTGACTTTAAAATATGAAACAGAAATATGTACAGCTCAGTGTTTGATATTTTAGTTGTTGTGTGAACTTGATTGTTGTTTGTAGAAATTTGATTACCCAACTTGGTAATATCATCAGTGTGAATGAGTATGGGGTTTGCTGCCTGTTCATGTGTAGTAGCTTGCTTACCAATTTATGTGTAGCAGCTTGCTTTACCAGTTCTGGCAGTAATATGATTTCTTCCTTGGTGGTTCCCATCCATTCCAAGAACTCCACAAATATGAAACCTTGTACTAGTTTTTATAACTGAATTAACTAGTTTAATATTTTATTTTTCATGTTCTAAAAACATTTGAATTGCTTTCATTTCTTAACTGAGCAGAAATATAGATTATGGTATAGATTGATTAAATCATTTAATGATAATGAGGAATAAATGAATGATAGATAACAACGTAAACAGTTATTCCTACAATATTGTTCTTCTAGTCTATATCTATTTATCAGTTCCATATTTAGCTTGTTTCCCGGTTGGCCTTTGGAGCATCAGCATGCTTCGTCCCAGTGGTTCTTCAATATTTTTCTTTCGTTGCAGAATTAAGCTATTTGTAATAAAGGCTACTTTGGGTTAGTCAGATACTATCTCAAACTGCCTTGCCTGGTTACCCCATTACCAGAATAGGTTAACCATGTTTTGAGGTAGAAACAGACATCTACCTTTACTGACCTTCTTTTGCAAATTTGATTTTCCTATGTAGACTTTTCCTCTTAGGTTGCTTCAAATGCTCTTATCTACTTGTGCTGAAGCACTTTACTTTCTTAGAATCCAGCTCTGCGCAATATTGGCTATTTCACAGGGGAAGGAATGCAGCTTCAAGTAGGCTAATACTGATCCCAATAACATTTAGATCCCAACAATTTTGAAATATAAAACAAGGAACACAGTGAAAGCACTAAGTCAAAGACTACCAATTCAAAATCTGCCAGGAATATTTTTAACTACTACTATTATTATTAATCATTAAATTATTTTTTAAAATTCTTTCTGAGCTTCCTACATCTTCCCACGCTTACTTGCTTTTTGATTGATTTAGAGAAATACCACCATTTTATCTCAGAGGAAAAAAATACCTTCGAACAAAATTAACGACATAGGTCGGTAGGGTCATCAGGATTAATGAATTCATATTCACATGTTGTTAGATTTAACACAGGTCAGCATCTATCAAATTTAAATATCTGGATCTGATTAAGCCTTAAAAAATATAATACAAATTAACATTTTTTAAACTTGGAAAACTAAGCCAGTCAAAACTTTAGCAGCATTTATTTTATAAAGTAGCTGTAGTTTTACTCATCAGAATTTTAGCCAGTCTTATATTAACTTGGAAAAATAGCAGCGATTCTTGAATCTGGAAACCCCTTCAGGCAGAAGTATGGTTGGCCCTCTCTTTGGTTTGCTTTTTTAAAGCCATCTGGACAAGAGTTATTAACCAATATTTTGCTGGGAGTTTTTATTTATTTATTTCCATAAGATTAATCATATTTGTCATTGTGGAAAACAGAATCTTACATTCAGATTTCTGTCAGATATAATATTCTTGAACACAGTGAATGATGCAGGCAATGATTATAAAATAGGAAAAAGAAAAATAAGGCTAAATAGAGGTAACTGGGGCTATATTTTTTTAAAAAAAATTACACTCATTACACTCTTGGAAGCAGATATTTACAATCAATCCCAATATACTATATACACTCACAGGTTAACCTTTTTACAATTTTTTAACCAAAATACTATGAAAAATGTATCTTGCTCAAATAAGCCAACTTCATTTTTCATGGTATTTTGTTTAAAACTTAAGAGCATGCTTATCCATGGATAGGCTTATCTGCAAGTGTATACAGAAAGTATGAGTACTTAAATAACGTATTACTGTATATACCGATGGATAAACCCATCCATGGATAAGCCAAACCCAATTTTGGGAGAGCATTTTAGCACACAAAATTCTCAGTTTATTCACAAGTATATACAATATTTTAAAATTGCACAAACATTAAAAGTAAGGATTCCAATAGCTGTCTTTTTAAAATTAAAATCTCCAGATGAAAAAGACCCATTTCTGGACATTGTATAAAAACTGCATTTAAAAAATCAAGGAAATTTGTATTTTAAAAAGCCCTGGATCATTAACATTAACAGATACATAAATTAAGGGGGATATTTGTACAACTCCTCTAAAAAGAACAGATTTTGTAAATATAAACGATTATAAATTTTTCTGCACTGTTGAAAGAAAATCCTGATTTAAAATCTTGGTAGTCTTAGGTGGCTTGCAAACATGAGTGGCTATTAACATAGGTCATATAATCAATTTTTACTGACTCAAAGATTCCTAACTATAGCTTACTTAAAAAAATAATACAGAGTCACAACAACTTTGCCATGTTAATGAACATTAAAATACCGCAAAGAGAAATTTATCATTTGCTCCTATATATTAGCTTCAATTCAGTTACTTTGTTTTCAGTTTAGGAAGATGTGTAATACTTGGTTTTATCACAATTTTTTTTAAAAAAATTATAAAGCATGCCATTTTCAACATTTTTCCTACCTGTTACAGAAATAGAATTGGTCCAATTTACAGACACATTGAAAACACCGAGCTGACCCCCATTTAGTTCCTGGCAAATGCTCTGTTTTATCAGAAATGTCAGTGCATACCCTCTCTAGGAAAGAGAATTTCAAATCAGTCTTATTTGACCATGAGATCTATCATGAACATAAAAAATATATACCTTAAAGAATGTTGCCAATTTCCCTGCTGACAATTAAAGGCATGCATGCATAGACCTTAGCACCACAGAGCAAGAACCAATCTAAGGGAGCTTCTCGTGAGTTATGTTCTTATTGCCGTTATGTTATCACAAAGCAAAATTCAACACCAGATTAACATCAGATGTATTGTTTCCCAGAACTGCCAGACAATCCTGCCACGGGGATTGCATTCCCAATAGAACAGAACAGAAAGTTTTCTATTTCTCATCACCAGAACAGGTGGTAGCAGATAAGTTTGAAGATAACAGTGTGCTTGATATAGAATTGCAAAGCTGATTAGACCTTAGCACCACAGAGCAAGAACCAATCTAAGGGAGCTTCTCGTGAGTTATGTTCTTATTGCCGTTATGTTATCACAAAGCAAAATTCAACACCAGATTAACATCAGATGTATTGTTTCCCAGAACTGCCAGACAATCCTGCCACGGGGATTGCATTCCCAATAGAACAGAACAGAAAGTTTTCTATTTCTCATCACCAGAACAGGTGGTAGCAGATAAGTTTGAAGATAACAGTGTGCTTGATATAGAATTGCAAAGCTGATTAGACCTTAGCACCACAGAGCAAGAACCAATCTAAGGGAGCTTCTTGTGAGTTATGTTCTTATTGCCGTTATGTTATCACAAAGCAAAATTCAACACCAGATTAACATCAGATGTATTGTTTCCCAGAACTGCCAGACAATCCTGCCACGGGGATTGCATTCCCAATAGAACAGAACAGAAAGTTTTCTATATCTCATCACCAGAACAGGTGGTAGCAGATAAGTTTGAAGATAACAGTGTGCTTGATATAGAATTGCAAAGCTGATTAGAGTCCATGGACATAATTCTTATTTAGTATTCTGTTCAGTATATCAGGGATCTTCAAACTCTTCAGATCAAACTCTTCATGAAGTGGCAGATTGTTCATCAACCCCTAAATATTTATTATATTTTACCTAATACTGGTAGTACTATGAACACTAATACACAACCTCTTCCATAGTCCCATTCACACTTGGGGGTCATGATAATCTTGGGGAACCCTGCAGTATTGGATCTGAAATTCTGGCATCCTTCTGACCACCCAAACTTCCTGAAAAATAGAACACAAAAGTGCAAAGTTTGTTATTCTACATTCAAGAGGTTTTTCCAATTAAATAGTTGATATCTATTCTCCAACATTTCCACCAACCACTTCTAGCTGGTTCCTGTAGAACAACACACAATAAATCTGCTCCATCTTCCATATGATGCCCCTTCAAATGTCCACCATTTGTTCTCTCCTGATTTTTCTCACTCTTATTACCAGGAATCATGAGGCTATAAGAGAGACCACACAGCTTCAAAGCCTTGCAGTTAACAAGACACTGGCAATATCTTTTTCTGTCTTGCTCATATAACATTGCCATAGGCCACTGTCCTGTTTGTAACATCTTTTACTATCACCTGGCCATTATACAGATATTATAAAACCTGTCCACATTATATCAATCTAAAAATGAGTGGTTGGTTGTAAAAAACCCTCTTCAATTGCCAATGAAGATCACACCTTCACTTCTTGACTAGTCTGTGAATAAGATGAATTTAAATTGTCCTCAGCTATGCTGGGGTTAATATACTATTTTTCCCACGTTCCAATCTGTCCAAGAAAAATTCAAGGTGTTTAAAATCTATTATTTTGAAGACAAATCAAGTGCCCATAGTGGCTTGAAAAATGAAAACAACACTGCCCGACCAGGAATTGGAAAAAGGACAGCTTGTTTTATGCAAGTTTACTTTCCTGCAAATTCAAAGATAGGTACAGAGCATTTCAATCCATTTCATTAGACTTATTTTTCAGAATGGATTTAGAAGATAATAGAAGCATTCTTGTTAAAACAATTAAAAGTTTTGCAGTATATTTTCAGCACCATGAGAGCAAACTGGCAGGTGTCAGTATTCAGAAATAGATCTCTTGGAATGTAAAGAGATTTATTGTCAGATAAGTGTATCTTAAAGTCTCTTAAAGCCACAAAGAGGAAATTATTTGTATACAATTGTAATATTATATTATTATAGTTGTGATAGTTTCCATTGTTACAACTTTTTCTGTAGAAGATATAAACTATATTACATGACACAGAAATGACAAAGCAATTAAAGACAAATGAAGGTGCTGAAAAAGATCTGAACATTTGTGTGGACAGAAGTAAGAAATATGTCCAGATGTATGTTTCATTTCTTGGTTTTATTACCATGCACTCTTCCTCATTAGCAACTAAATTTCATTTTTAATGTGTGCCATTGTGCCCGCAGTAAAAAAAATGACAGTAAAGGTTATCTATTATTTCAGATATAAAACATGGAGCAAATTGAAAATCAAACTGATAAAAGAAGAGAATTTGCTTTCCTAAACTAATCCAACTTCCCTGAGCCTTAAGCTTTGTTTTTTTTATCCCATTTCTTGCTATATACATCGTTACCTTGTTTGGCAATGGACTTATCCTGACCACCACATGGCTGGGTGGTGGCCTTTGAACTCCCATGTACTTTTTCATCTGGCATCTGGGATTTCTCGATATTTGTTACACATCTGTTACACTACCCCACTTGCTTAAGAATCTATTAGAAGATACAAAAACTAATTCCATTCAG